AGCGTTGCCGTTCCTCTGGTGTAGGAATGGCGTGAAGGCTGTGTTCATCCTCTGAGCACGCTGGGGGCACCCGAACTGCTCTGCCTCGAACACCTGAAATGCAAAGGGAAGGGGCAGCCTCCTCAACCAAGTCGGACCTGCTGGCAGCCCAGACCCAGCTTGTTCACAGCAAATTTCACAAATCTGACTTCCAAGGGCTCTGTCCTGCTCTGCTCTTGTGACGCAGAACACAGAAAGTGCCAGCAGTCTAATAATTCTAAACAGTGTGGCTTTGCCTCCCCAGCTAGATTAGGAGTCACCTGAGAATAAGAATCAGTTAAGACTATCTCCTGTCCCCTCTCCTACGGTGACTCCTTAGGTGCTCGAGGGAGACATAGGCTGTAGGCCTGCGGAGGTGGCCATCAGCGCCATGTTTCTAGGCCTCCCCCTTCTAGGCCCACTACTCAGACCCTTGAGGGGTCTGAGGGACAAGTCACATGAGGGACATGTGACTAGCTCTTGCCAAGGAAGTGAGAGAGAAATAAGGCCCTCTGGCACACCCTGCCTTCTATCGGGCTGAAGGGACAACATTCCAATACAGCTGCTGCTCTGCCCATGAGGGTGACGACGACGACGAGCAGGTGGCCTGCTCTGCTGCAACGCGCACGGAGCAAGAGCACGGAACGGTCCCTGTGGTATGAGGCTGCTGAGATGAGACAGGCTGGAGGCAGGCACGTGGCAATAATTAAGTGAGAAGTGACAGTAAGGGGCTCAGCCTCTCATCAGCAGGTACCAGAGCATGACCTGGCTTGTCCTGAGACACAATGCCACAGCTGGAGGTCTGGGTTAGGTGGCTGGTCTAGACAGCATTAATGGACAGTCTGAGATGAAGGTCAGAGGAAGCAAAGGGAGGAACAAGGGTTCTGACTCCAGCCGAGAAACCAGAGCTGAATGAGAACCAGGACAATAGAGGCAGGAGAGACTAGTACAGCAGACGACCCCGACTCTGAATGAAGGTGACACAGCAGCCTCAGGCTAAGAGCAAGAAAGCTGCCTGGGCTCCTGTACCCACCCTTGGTGCAGAAAAAGACTCCTACAGTGCGAGGGCCCCCACCCTGGTGCCCTGTGCTCAGACGGCACCTTGAGCGCCTTGGCCTGGAGCTCATCGATGATGCCCCGGACCTTCCCCAGTAGGAAGGGCCAGGAGTTGATGAGGTAGATCCGGTCCATCATGATGGTGATGATGCTGTACCAGCGCTGGAAGCCCCTGGCCAGGCTGTCTTTGATGAAGAAGGTGTGGCTGAACACAAAGCCATGCTGTTCGTCACCAAAGAAGATGGGCCCCTCACGGCCAGGGCAGACCTGGAAGGAACAACAGCGATTTGAGACAGCCCTCTCCTCCCTTCAGCAACACCAGGTCGAAGCCTCATCATCTGGCTTTTCCTTTGGCATGATTCAGCCAGCACTGATTACAGGGACAGTGGCAAGGGAGGGTGAAAGCAGGAGACTCTGCACTCTTCTGCTCCTGTGGTCAAGCTTTCTAAAGACAACGTTTGTCATGGTGGAATGCCAGGGCCAACAGAGGTTTGCTGCTTTTTCTAGCTTGAGCCACAAATGTGCCACCTTGCTCATCTGGAATACGATGAAGAACAGGCAGGTCAAAATAGTCACTGCATACTTTGTAGAATAAAATCTGCACACTTTATTTTCACAAGAGAACTTCAGTCCCTCCCTTGTGACATATTAACTCTTACTTAACACACAATGCTAACAGACATGCCCATCTGCTTGCTAGCAGACCAGCAGCAGGAAATGAAACCGGCTGGAGGCAGGCACATGGCAACAGTTAAGTGAGAACCGACAGTGAGGGGCCAGGGCAGGAAGTTCAGTAACCAAACCATGTATTCTCCATGACAGACAAAAACCTAAGAGTTAAGACCCAAGGTCAGCAGTGACCACCTTGTAGTTTGGGAACAAACTGATCTATTTCTCAGGTTCCGAGAGCAGTACATGGCGATCAGTGAGGCTGGGAATGAGGACTGACGCAATAGAAAAGGTGGCAATTGATGCAGTGAACTATGGCACCTTAGAAATAATTCCTATGTCAGAAATATGTCCATTACGAATGGACAAATAATAAAGGTTTGGTGCTTAAAGTGAAAAGCTAGCGCCCACTCAGAAACCAGTGAGTCCAGAATGATTTACTCTGCAAGTTCTGGAGACGTGAAGCTTCTCTCCCCACGCCGCACCGCGCGTGGGCCTCTCTGTGAGGACGCGTGCTAGCCTCCCTCTCCAAGCCAGTGCCCGCGTTCTCAGGCCACTCGGAGCACACGTGCTCCCACTGAGACGCCGCAGCCACACGCGGCTCACCTCACAGCTCAGGCTCCGGACGCAGGCCTGGCGGACAATGCTGAACAGCTGCGGGTGGTTGGGGTGCTGGTGACTGACGTACTTGATCGAGGTCTCCTTATCGTGGCTGATGTACCCTGGGTGTCCTGCAGACAGTGACCGGCAGCCCTGCCCACCAAAAAGAAAAGAAAATCTGTTAGTTGGGAAGCAGGTAACAAACTGTCTTACACTTACAAAAACCTGGACTTAAAAAATACAATCTATTTTTGTATAAAAATAACTGGCTTTTAGGTTTGTACTTATCTAAGGACTTAAATGCTTCCTCAATAGGAAAACCAGGACACAGAAATGCCAAGGTTGCCAGAGGGTAGTCCTGACAGATCTTACCCGCTGAGCACTCACACAGCAGGTACTATAGCAAGAGTTCTGTGTAGTTTCTCTCATTCTATTCAAGAATTCTCAGCCTGTGAGAGAATTACAGTGAGAACCCTCATTTCACAGAAGACAAACTGAGGCTGAGACAGGAAGTAGCTGGCTCCAGGGCACACACTGCTCTGAGCCACTTTTATGGGTGATTCATCCACCCCGCCACCCCTCTATCCTTGGTTCAGAACGAATAGCTGCTGAGGCCTCAGGAGGGCACTAGAGCAGGCCCCTCCCCAGGCCAGAGGACTCCTTCAAGGACAACCCCAATCCTGACTCAAGGACTCTCCTGCTGCCTGGCTGAGCCCTCCTTCCCTCCAGTTCTGGCCTCCCAGGTCTGAGGCACTCCCCACCGTCTGTCCCTGCACCTCCTGCAGGCCTTTCCAGCAACAGATAAACCTCTCACCTGTCGTCTGCTTCTCAGGGGAACCAAATGAACTAGGTTGGTTTGTTTGCACCTAGTGGTAGGTCCGATACCCAGCCCTGATTTGGGGTCCCAACCCAAATTCTCCATGCAAAGATGTGGCCCATTAGGAGAAATTTAAACTAATTTCCCAGAGCTCAACCTGGAACCCTGGGGATCTACAAGGAGGAAACTCCGCTTGGAGCACCGGGCCTTGGGAACCCCTGCCCATGACAGGCTGGAGTGCATGAACACAAAGGTGAATGCCACAGCAGGGAGGCACAGAGAAGTGCATGCCAGCTACTGGGCTCCCTGAGAAGCCATCTGTGTCAGCCCTGAAGCCCTCACCCCCAGCTCTTGGGACCGCAGGGTCTCCTGTCCAGCCCACACTTCCCACAAAGAGAGCAAAATGTTCCTGAGACCCCAGAGACACTTGCCTCACACATGTCTGACTTTTTGGGCCCAGGGCTGCTGGACTCGGTGCTGGCCCCTTCCGCCGGGCTGTGTGCGCGGATCCGGCTGCTCATCTGAATGCCGCCTTCCTCCTCCTCGGCCTGCTGGCCCTGGTGAGGGCTGTCCCTGTCCTCAGCCCCTTGGGGAAGTGGGGCATGGAGCACCTCCGTGCAGAAGAGAGTACGAGGGCCATGGAGCTCGCAGAAGTGACAGAGAGCAACAATGG